GTTTGCCACGCCCACTTTAACGCCCACAAACCGCGAAAACCTGTGACGCCCACAATTTTTATGCTAGATAAAAAATTTTAACTGAAATGTATTGGTCTCGTCGATACCTATCGATTGACTCAAAAAAAAGTTTGCCACGCCCACTTTAACGCCCACAAACCGCAAAAACCTGTGACGCCCACAATTTTCATGCTAGATAAAAAATTTTAACTGAAATGTATTGGTCTCGTCGATACCTATCGATTGATCCAAAAAAAAAATTGCCACGCCCACTCTAACGCCCATAACGCTTAAATCTGTATACCGCCGGTAGGTGGCGCATTTTAATCTCGCTTTGCTGCTTGCATATCTCCATTTAGCTGAGTAACGGGTATCTGATAGTCGAGGTACTCGACTATAGCGTTCTTCCTTGTTTTTTTATACAAATACGCAAAAAATACGATGATTATGAAGATTTTTTTGTTTCGGTCCTGGTTGACCATTTGGCGGATATGCCCATATTTAATACTTACTTTTCAAAACTCTGTCCATGTTTAAGTACCACCACACTCACACCAACACCACCAACAAGTATAACTAAAATAACAATATTCTGTTAATAAATTTTAATGAAATTAAATGATATATGTACTTACAATTCGTAAGTATTCCTCTATGTGCCTTGGAGACGGAAATACATCGATGTTGCACCGCTAAACATCGATTTTGCTGATGTTTCGAAAACATCGTTGTCATCGATGTTGGTGTAGAGTCCGCCTCCGTGGGCAAAAATGGAGAAACGGGTCCGGCCTCCTTCTAGTTTTTCTGACCGGTTCTTCACCTGCAATTTCCACCGGAGCCCTTTTTCTCCCTTTTCTCGGGGAAACCACTTCGACCGAGTTGTCTTCGTCACACTCTTGCACTGTGGAGTCCTCCGTGGGAGACCTTTGCAGGAGGAGTGTAACGAAGACAACACGACCAAAGTGGTCTCTCCAAGAAAAGGCAGAAAGAGGGCTCCGGTGGCAATTGCAGGTGAAGAACCGGCCAGAAAAACTAGAAGGAAGGCCGGAACCGTTTCTCCATTATAGTATAAGCAGGTACAGAGCCAGTTGATTTTTCGAAACTGAACCTTAAGCCTTGACAGAAAACTCTACGATGACGAGAGAAAGAAAAAAAAGTAATAATTGTTTTTAAAGTTGCATTTCAACAGTTTTCAAAATTTAAAAAACACTTGGGGTCCAATAAATGTATGCTCAGCAAACCCTTAGGGAATATTTTTAAAATGGTTTTTAGAAATATATTTAAGTTAAATAATTTTAGCCAGAGAAGGATTTATCCATTGGCGATACATAAATAAAAAAATAGTCCCGCTCAAAAGTTGTAGTTTCTCAAAGATTTTCGTCAGGGCTACAGCTAAAAAATTACGAAAAATATAGCATTAAAATGTCTTTGTGTGTATCAAGTAAATATACCTATATATGATATGTGTTGAAAATATATATATTCAAAAATATACTTATTCAACGTTTGATAGAAGTCCCAGACCCAGTGAATAGAAGTTCCAGAACCAAAAAATTGACTCGTTTATTTATGTTTGTAATGGACCCGAAATATATTGAAAATAAAGAATTTGAACAAATTTAATGAAGATTAATATTTATCTTTTTACAAGAAGCAAAATCAAAACATATAAAAGAATAGCAGTTTATTATGAAAGCATACAAGTTTGATATGAGAGCATATCAGTTGGAAAATACCATACTGGTTTCAAAATACCATCGTTTTCTCTCAAGTTTGATATGTGCGCATATCAATCTGGTATGAAAAATACCCTATTGATAAGTTTGAAAATATCAATTTGATATGTTCGAAAATATCAATATAATATGGCAATTCGATATTGAAAAATATGCAATTGATGACCAGTTTTCGTATTTTACTTTCTCTGGCTACCCATGTAAATGCTCTAATGAAACTTATCTTTCTAATAAGACAAACGTGGATCCGAACTTGATTTTTTCCAGATATATGGAGTTCAATTTAAGCTTTTACCATTCTGCCAGACGTCCTATATAAGGTGCATTCTTGCAATTTGTGTAGGCTTTGCCTAACCATGGCTTACATAATATTGCAACTGGCATCAAACTTTATACAATTAACAACCCTGATAAAACTTATTTTATATATTAAGCTTTGTGTTTTTAAGCCTAGTACCTATCGTCGGGTCCTTGTTTCATCGCGGTTCTTAGATAAGAAAAAATACCATAATTCGTCAGTGAATTCCGGTGAAAATTAAAAATGGAGGGAAAAATGAACTTTTGCGCAGAGGAAACATTACGCCTTATCCAACTTGCACATTATTGTGGGACTTGACCCACAAAAAGAACTTTGTTGCTTTATGAAGAAAATCTGGGCGAAATAGTGCAAATCTTGGGAAAAGATTTTATGTTATAATTTTGTATTATACATTTTAAAACATTTCAAATTGATTTCGATTACATTAATCTGCCGTCGCAAGAGAACAAGAGCCGCGAATTCAACCGAATAATCGACGTTGTCCTGTAGCAGCAGATTGAGGAGTTGATTGAAGCTAGCTGAGAGGTCGAGGAGCTGGAGGTCAGTGGAAATAATCTGATTGCACACTACCGGGTCGAAGTGATTGACCAGTTCAAGATGCCATTTCCAATCTATTTCAAGATAGAAACCGGGAAGTAATAATAAGAGTGCTAGTCTGTCTCAATTGGCGTTTCCGAATATATCAGGAATGGCTGGAAAGTGAAGCTTGGAGTCGCATCTCTGACATGGTGTTGCTTCCAACCCAGGACCCGACCTATTGAGGAAGCATCCGCCCATCCAGCTAATATGTCGATTCCAGGTTAATCTGGACAGTCATTTTTGTCTTCGAACAACTTCTCGAACGCAAAGCACTGATCAGAATGATCAGATCCAAATTCATTGATTCCACTGCTACTTAGTGTTTCCAGGGGACTTATTAAAAAAAATCGGTATGCCGAATTGGAGTAACTAATGAAAGCAGAATATAAGAACACGAATTGATAGCAACCAAGGCCTACAATTTTTAGGAAAAAAATTAAAATGCAAAAGGGAGTGTGGAGTAAGGATACTAAAGGGGCAAGAATAGTTTGTGGATTTAGCGACTAGCGGCTCGTTTAAAATGCGAGCCGTTTTTAACAGATACGTCGACATAGCTGAGATCCAATGGTTGAGGCCTTTCACCATTATTTCCGATGAAAAATTCAGATGAAGAGCCGGTCAAAAAAACTAGATGGAAGGTCGGTCGGATCCCATTATCCATCAAGCGCACGGAGAACTCCTCACCGTGTCAGGAGTGTAACGAAGACAACTCGATCGAAGTGTTCTCGCTGAGAAAACCTAGAAGGAAGGCAGCCCCAACAATTTACTGTCTTGAATTTCAGGAATCCACCGATACGGACAACGAAAAGGAATAGGCTTAATCTGTAGCACTGAAATTGGTTTGCAATGTGGAGTATGCTTTTATTAGATAAACCACAATAAAAAAACGATATACTGTAAGATAATTCTATGTTAATATCTTAAACAACAACCAATATTTACAATTAGATTATAAGATAAACATATAAACAAGATAGATGATTAAGTATTTATTGTAAAACTATGTACAGTATATAAAATACTAAATTTATGTATGCGATCTGGCAACGCAGAACGTAAAAATGTGTGGCAACCTTGAAACGCGAATGAGATAAAACACTTTTTCGTCGGAACTGTGCCAAGAACACACGCATGTGAAGAGCCAGGAAATAAAAATGATTTAAAACAACAAAGAACAACAAATAAACTGTCTAAATTACTATTACAATAATCAGAAGTGGCTTAGAACTTAAAAAAGCAAAGTGCCTACTAAATAAAATAAAAACATATATCTGATATAAATAACTTTGATTTTAAACAAAATGGATGAAAGTGATTATGAAAAGTATACAATTGACGGCCTTAAGCGTATTTTAAAGACATATAATCAACCTTTAACTGGTAATAAACCAGAATTCATTCAACGTTTACGAAAAGTTCGAGAAGCTGATGCAACTGTAAAATCATTAGCGCCACCAAGCCATAAGGACAACGAGAACATAGAGGAACAAAAAGAAGACGAAATGAAAGACAATGAAGAAGAAAGAAAAGTTCGAGAAGTTGACGCAACTGTAATATCATTAGCGCCACCAAGCTGTAAGGATGACGAGAACAAAGAGAAAGGAAAGGAGTGCGAGACGAAAGAAAATGAATTACAAGGAAATCACTACAACGAAATGAAAGACAACGATAAGCCAGACAACGAAATGCAACAAGGTTATGAAATGCAAGACAAAGATGGATATATGAACAACGAAAGAAACGAGATCAACGAAGCAGCGAAAATAAATGTTAACGAGAAGAAAACTGAGAATAAAGTGGTACGAAATGGAAACGAAGGAAATAATCAAGAGAAATTTAAACAACTAATTGCCGAGACGACATACGAAAGTGAGAACAAAGAATATGTACAAGAAGTACTTACGATGACTACATCTGCAACTAAGCCGAAAGTAAATAAAGGAATTTCATATGAACAAAATCTGACCAAAATTAAGCAGGACTACGAAGACATGAAATGGGACTTAATGATGCGAGAAGTGGAACTTTTAAAAAGGGAACTACGAATTTCAACGAAGGAAAACGAAATGTTAAATATGACCAAAAACGAAAAACCAGCCGATACACTAATCAACAAAAATATCCCGTTTACTCATCTTAAGGATTTAGTGTCAGAATTTGACCCTATGGATGGTGATACCGACATTCAACTATTTAAAAAGCAAATTATATCTGTGCAAAATATTTATCAACTTGATGATCACAGTGTACGTGCATTAATTTCCAATCGTTTAAAAGGAAAAGCTTCCAAATGGCTACAGAGCTGCTCAGAGTCGATGACATTGCCAGTAAATGAATTGCTTTATGAAACGGAAAACATTTTTGATAATCGTGAGTCTCAACTTGTAATGAAACGTAAGTTTGAAAAGAAAATTTGGCAAAGTGATGAATCATTTCAAGAATATTTCTACGAAAAACTTATATTATCAAATAAAATAAATATAAGTCAAGAAGAACTACTGGAGCACTTGATTGACGGAATACCGGATTATGCGCTACGCAACCAGGCAAAAATGCAACGATTTTTAAATACAGCTGAGTTATTGGATGCTTTTAAGAAAATTCAATTGAAGCAGATTTTTGTCAACAACAACAACAAAGCTACGCTCCAGGCAGATACCAATAAATCTGCAATTGTAATTAAGTGCTATAATTGCAATTCAAAGGGACACATGGCCAATGAATGTCGCAAAAGCAAGAGGGAACCTGGATCCTGTTTCGTCTGCGCTGAGATGGGGCACACTTCAATCAACTGTCCGAAACGCAAGAATATCAACCCACTGGAGAGCACAAACAATTCAAATTCATTTGTAAGAAAAATAGAGTATTTATTTACTAAACAAATTAACAATCTTATCCTCTCGTTAGAAACCCTAATCGACACCGGAAGTCCCATTTCTCTTATACGTGAAGAACATGTACCAACCGAATTCATCGGGTGTTATAGTTTTCTTAAAAACTACTATGGGATAAATAAAAGTAAACTGATTATCATTGGAATAGTTAAATGTAAAATCATATTTGAAAATCAAGAATTTAATAAAGATTTTTTTGTTGTACCTAATGAAACAATGGAATATCCTGCAATATTGGGAACCGACTTTTTAGAAAAGGAAAGATTTGTGTTAATAAAAGAAAGTAAATTAAGATTAGAAAGCAAAGTAAGTAAAGACGAAAGTAAAAAATATATGGAAGAAAAACTACCCAACAAAAGAAATGTAAGTGAGTACAATGAGTTGTACTTGAACCAAAATGAAAAAAATTGTCCGAAATAGAACGTGAATGTCGAAACCTAATGGGAATTGATTTAGATAAAGAGGAAAATACATTAATTATTAACAATACTAATATACATTTAAAATATCATTTTAAGTTACAACAAATCTTTAAGCAATATTATTTAAATACTGAAATCCCTAAGAAGCCGGAAACTAAATGCTATTTAAAATTGATTCTTAATAATGAAAAGCCTTTCCATTATAAACCCCGCCGATTATCGTACGCAGAAAAAGAAAAAGTCCAAGAAATATTAGATGAGTTAATAAAGAACGAAATAATTAGGCCAAGTCAGTCAGAGTTTGCTTCTCCAATTGTATTGGTTAGAAAAAAGACAGGTAATATTAGACTATGTGTTGACTACAGAACATTAAATAAAAATACTCCCAAAGATAATTATCCTTTACCGTTGATCGAGGATCTGATAGATACTCTTACAAACAAAGAAATATTTACACTGCTAGATCTAAAAAGTGCTTTTCATCAAATCGAAGTTCACGACGATTCTGTAAAGTATACGTCGTTCGTAACGCCCATGGGTCAATTCGAATATATTAAAATGCCATTCGGTCTGAGAAACGCGCCAGCCACATTTCAAAGATTCGTAAATAGGGTGTTTGATGATATGATTAGAGCTGTAAAGGTTGCCATTTACTTAGATGATATAATGATAGCATCAAAGTCAGTTGAGGAACATTTAATTACGTTGACGGAAGTTTTTCAAAGATTAATAAGGAATAAATTGGAACTTAGGATTGACAAGTGTAGGTTTATGGAAGAACAGTGTGAATATCTTGGCTATATTGTATCAAAGAAAGGAATACAGCCAGATAACAAAAATATAGAAGCAATAAAAAACTTCCCGATTCCAAAAAATGCAAAAGAAGTTCACAGCTTTTTAGGACTCTGTTCCTATTTTAGAAAGTTTATAAAAGAATTCTCCATTAAAGCAAAACCACTTTATAATATCATTAAAAAGGATGCAAAGTTCGAGTTTGGTGAAGATAAAATTCAGTGTTTCGAAAACCTGAAGAACATGTTAATAAATGCTCCAATCCTTTCCATATACGATCCAAAACATGAAACAGAACTACATTGCGACGCCAGTTCAATTGGGTTTGGAGCAATATTAATGCAAAGAAAAGAGGACAATAAAATGCATCCAATATTTTTCTTCTCAAAACAAACGACAGATTACGAATCAAGATATCATAGCTTTGAGCTCGAAACGCTTGCTATAATATATGCTTTAAGAAGGTTCAAAATATACTTACAAGGAAAGAAATTCAAAATAATTACAGATTGTAATTCATTGTCTTTAACGTTAAATAAAAGAGAAATAAACCCAAGAATAGCTAGATGGGCGCTCGAATTAGAAAACTTCGACTACGATATTGAACACCGTGATGGTACCAAAATGCAGCATGTCGATGCATTGAGTAGAATTTCGAATATATTGGTATTAGAAGAAAACACATTAGAACAAAACCTTTCAATTTGCCAAAACAAAGACAGTGCTATCCATGAAATACGCCAAAGATTAGAGAAAGAAGAAAGTAATTCGTTTGAATGAGAAATGGTCTTGTTTATCGAAAATTTAAAGGTAATATTTTATTTTATGTACCAGCAAACATGGAAAGAAATATTTTAACGCTATATCATGACAACATGGGGCACAGAGGTTATGAGAAAGTATACAATGCTATAATAAGATCTTATTGGTTTCCTAAATTATCTGATAAAATTAAACAACACATACATAACTGTTTAAAATGTATAACATTTTCATCTAAATGCGGGAAACGCGAAGGTTTATTACACAGTATACCAAAGGGTGACAAACCATTTGACATAGTACATATAGATCATTTCGGCCCCGTAAAAATTAAAAACGGACAAAACAAACATGTTTTACTAGCGGTTGATGGATTTTCAAAATTTGTAAAACTTTATGGAACTAAATCAACTGATTCTAAAAGTGCAACAAAATGTTTATCAAATTTCTTTACTTCTTATAGTCGTCCTAAGGTTATAGTTTCAGATCGGGGAACCGCATTCACTTCAAAAGACTTTGAAGAATTTCTGAAAACCCATAATATAAAGCATATAAAAGTAACCACCGGTTCACCCCAAGCAAATGGGCAAGTGGAACGCATAAATAGGTGTCTCGGACCAATGTTAGCCAAATTAACGAGTGCAGGAACAGAGAAAACTTTAAACAATGTACTACCAGAAATAGAGTTTGCTTTAAACAACACGTCACATAAAAGTACTGGAACAACAGCAAGCGAGTTACTATTTGGTGTAAGTCAAAGAGGAGTAGTAATCGACTTCTTAAAAGAAGAGTTGGACGAATGGAATCAAGAAAGAAATCTTATTGAAATAAGAAACAATGCAAGCAATAAAATAATAAATAGTCAAAAATACAATGAACAAATTAAAAATAAGGGTAGAATTATTAAAAAATTTAAAAAAGGTGACTACGTTGTTTTGAAAAATTTTGTTAGTGTACCAGGGGCATGCAAGAAAGTAATACCGAAATATAAAGGTCCGTACAAAGTGGATGAGGCTTTAGAAAATGATAGATATGCAGTATCAGATGTCGAAGGATTTCAATTATCACAAATACCTTATAAAGGAATATGGGAAGCGGCGAATATGAAGTTATGGATAGAAAGTGAAACGAAAGATTTAGAAGAAGAAAGCGAAACGACAGATTTAGACGATGAAATTGAAAAGCAAGACTTAGACTATGAAATTGAAAAGCAAGACTTAGACTATGAAATTGAAAAGCAAGACTTAGACGATGAAATTGAAAAGCAAGACTTAGACGATGAAATTGAAAAGCAAGACTTAGACGATGAAATTGAAAAGCAAGACTTAGACGATGAAATTGAAAAGCAAGACTTAGACGATGAAATTGAAAAACAAGACTTAGACGATGATATTGAAAAGAAAGGAAAGGAAGTTGAAATGCAAAACCAAATTAAAGAAAAAAGATACAATGAAACGAGGTCAGAGGTTGAAAACAATAATAAATATTGCAGAAATGTTGAAAATAACAGGACACAAAAGAATTATCCAAGATACAATTTAAGAAAACGAAAAATTTAGATTGAGATATAATCGGGTCGATTAAATGTCAGGATGGCCGAACTGTAAGATAATTCTATGTTAATATCTTAAACAACAACCAATATTTACAATTAGATTATAAGATAAACATATAAACAAGATAGATGATTAAGTATTTATTGTAAAACTATGTACAGTATATAAAATACTAAATTTATGTATGCGATCTGGCAACGCAGAACGTAAAAATGTGTGGCAACCTTGAAACGCGAATGAGATAAAACACTTTTTCGTCGGAACTGTGCCAAGAACACACGCATGTGAAGAGCCAGGAAATAAAAATGATTTAAAACAACAAAGAACAACAAATAAACTGTCTAAATTACTATTACAATACCACCACCGGAAGTCCACCAGAATCTTTAGCCCATGTGGCGTAGCTTTCCACACCAAAAATATTGATGCATCCCACCTAAAAGCACAGCGTCAAGTTCGCTATGTAAGGGATAAGTAATACAAAATGTTACCTTTACATTTTTTAAAACCCTGGAAGATCAACAGGACGAAAATAAAACAAGAAATCTCACGGTAAACGAATTTTTTTCATTAAAAAAAAATGTTTAAATTAAGTTGTATTAGAGTACCGATTTCTAGAACTTCAATTTAATTAACTTTATAAAGTGCGGACTGATTCCAAAATGAAGTGATTTGTCTGTTTATTTGCATATGTACATTTAAACAGGGTTATCAAAGTACTTGTACATGTGCGTTCTGCTCTACGTGTACTGGTTTTATGGAGTCTGGCACTAAAAAAAACCCCAGCATGACCAGTTCCTCTTTGGGGTCAATTTTGCTTATCAAAAAGTTCCCGAAACGCCAAGTACAAAAATGACCTCAACTCGTAAAAAGTGTTGAATATAAATACTGAAATACTGAATCGATTTGCGTGTTCGGTCAGGGGCTGCCATATCTAGCCTTTTATTTTATTGTAAGGTATAGCCAAGGAAACTTTGCCTTTTTAATGGCAGCAATTGTTCGGTCCCGTTTTCCGCTACTGCGAGTTGTAGCGACTTACCCGCTTAAGAGGAATTTGGTCGCTGAAGCGAAGACCCCTCTGTGTGATAGGCATTAAAACTATCGTGCTATTCTGAAAAATATCGATGGCGGTTACCGGGACCCAACCATCGATATTTTCAACATTACCATCGATATTTTTGTAGTTATTTTACAGTCGAATTCCTCCAAATTCAAGGGATTCGTCATCTTTGGGTCTTTGGGTGAAGTGTCATTAGCTTCTCCGGTCAATTCTATAAAGGTTCCCATCGTCCTCAGACTTTTAGTCCCCTACTTTCTTTCCTTATTCTGCGAAGTGTCCATTATGTTAACTATAGTTATAGTATTAACATTAAAGAAAGAAAGAAAACGTAGAATAACAGACATTTATGAAACTAATTGCATAGAGTTCTATCTATTTTGTCAATAAGGATTATTTGGAAAAAATCCTATGTATTGTGTTAAAACAAAAAATGTATTTATTATTTTTGCGAAAAGTTGTGTTTATAGTATGAAAGTCTAATACAAATTTCGCTCTGAATGAAGAGTCTGTTACTGTGATTTTTTTCTATATCACACGGCTTGAAATACATTTTTGGGTATAAGTTGTCGTTGTAGTTGTAGTAGTAGTAATCTTTTTACACTATTCGTGTGTTCCGGAAAGCATGAGTTTTTCAAAGACTTGTTTTCAGGAACAAGCACCCCGATATATTTTATTTATATATATATTTTTTTTTTAATTTATTTATTTATAATTTGATATATAGCTTTGTATTATTAAGTCTAGTATTCACATCGCTGGGTCCATTTTTTATTGCGACACTCTATTCTTATCGACTTCCATTATGCGTATGTTTTTTATCCCATCATTTACACTAAGTTAAAAAAAATTCAGAAAACGTTTATTTTACTTTCTTTTATTTGCATACCACTACCATTAGTTAATGGTAATACAAATTTTGTTTGTTTTGCTTTGATTATTACTGATTTTGTAAATTCAGTTGACCCTGAATTTGCTGTAGCTGCTGCTGGATTGCGTGTAACAGCTGGGACTCCGGGTGGCCACCTTTATTGCGTCCAGGAATCCAGCCACCTTCACTGGATTGTCTATGGCAAGACGCATAAACTCTTTTAAAGTGTCGCCTCCGCCGACCCCTCCGGCCACCAGGAGGATGCGGGCCATCTCGCGCTCCCGCTCGAGCACCCTTGTCAGCTCCCACCGGAGGATCGGCCGATCCACCGTGGCCTCGTCCGCCGCCACCTTATCCACCACCAACGCTGCGAAGGCCCGCCGCATCTCGCGACCGGCTCTGTTCGATGGGAGAGCTGGAGCTGGTGGTGGTGTTGCCACGGGAAGTGGGGCGGCCGGTGCAGGGTGTCGGTAGGGCCTGGGGGCAAGTGCCGGGGCGTAGGCGTAGGGTGGTTGGTAATAGTGGTACCGGCGTGGCTAATATCCGCCCATTCCACGATCATCTTAAAAAAATAACTAAATTAAACTAACTCTTTAACTTTTTTTCACGAAAAGAAAAAAAGCAAAGCATGCGTTCTTGCTCGAATCGAAAACAATGCTGGAAAACTTTTAGTGGGTCGGATATCGAATCGGAGTTTGGCATGTTATACTTCAAAATAAATGTGCTAATGTATTAGACACATACATACTTTTTATTTATTATTATTTTATTAATTTATTTTGCTTATTTCATTTCAAGATTTAATGTAGTTTAAAATTTTGTTTAACCATTATTTACATTTTACGTGTTGTATCGATAATTTTACACCCACGATCGGTTCATCACTTCTTCGTTTTGGCACACTGTTTTTATAAAAACAACAAAACGAAATGGAAGACCCAAGTCTGTAAGTTTTTTATTTCTATTTATTAGATTATTATTTAGCATAGTTATTATTATTTATATTCGGTCGGGTAAGAATATAAAACGTCGTGGATTAATGTGAAAGCTTGATATGTAAGTTTGTTGTGTCTAATTATCCTTCCCGCATACATGTTTCGGTGGTTTTTTTTTTTAATCAAATGATTTTTTTGTAGGCAAATTTGCATATCCAAGTTTATAAAAATTGTGGTGATTAAACGATCAGGAATGGCTGGAATCGCATCTCGGACATCGTGTTGCTTCCAGCTACCTCTTGAGCTAGCATCCGCCCATCAAAGTTTTAAAAAATATTGGGGTCCAGTAAAGATAGGCTCAGGCAAACCCTCCGTTTAAAACGGCTGGGATTTTTGACAAACTCCGATTCCCACAGGGCACATCCACCATCTACCATCCGATAACTGATCTGAACAGCAGTGGCTAATAAAAACAGAAGCAAAACTTGTTAAAGTGGATTTTGCCAGACCTAGACGAACAATTTACCAACTATTTGGATGTTGTACAACAGCAAAATCTGAAGTTGAATCAGCTTTTATTGGCAGCCAATTTAGAGGAGTGGAATGACGACGAATTGGATCTGTACGAATGCATTTTTTCTGCAAAAGAGCAAATGCCACAAAGTGTGTGGATGCCGGTATGTGCTCTTAAATTAAATTAAATTAAAAATACTACTAAAGAATGCGACTTATATTAAACAGAAGCGATACGGGACATTTTGGAAAAGGATATACCGAAGAACAACGACGAGTTCTTCAAAGAAAGCTTTCGTATGGAGAAGAGGACCTTTTCGTTTTTGGTGGGCCGATTAGGTGTTTTGCGGAAGAAGGCCATTCCTCTTGAAAAGCGGATCGCTATAGCCTTGTACACCTTGGGATCATCTGCGGAATATCGCTCCATCGGAAGGCTTTTTGGAGTTGCACAGATCACTGTGTGCCAAATTCTCCACGAACTTTGCCCGGCACTCATTTTTGAGTTTGCCAGCGAGTTCATGACACCGGACTATCTTACTTCAGAAAAAGTGGACGAGTGTGTCAAAGGATTCGAGGCAATTGGATTTCCCCAGTGTCTAGGTGCAATTGGTAATGCATCAATTTATTAAATCAGTTCATGGTCCTAGCAATGTATAATGTGTAGATGGTTGTCATATCGAAATAAAACCGTCAGCAGCAGAAGCAGTCGATCACCACAACTGCAAAGGCTGGTACTCAATAGTACTGTTCGCTCTCGTGGATTACAGGTAAACTGCCTTCTTGTAAGAGCTTAACAGTCCTCTAAACGCATTGTATTCTAAATTTACTACAGATATAGATTTACCTATGTAAACATCAGCCCTGCTGGGCGCTGCAACGACTACACTATATTTCAAAAGTCGCGCCTGGCAAGGAAAATGGTGTCTTCTCCGTTTCTTTACAAAAAAACAAGGGAAATTTGTGGCGTTCAAGTTCCGATGCTGCTTATTGGGGACTCTGCCTTACGATTTTCCCAAACGCTGATGAAGTTGTACCCATTTTCCACAACTGCATCCGAAGAACAGCGAAATTTTAACTCAATTTGTCCAAAGCTTGGCGAGTAGTAGAAAATGCTATTGGCCATTTAAAGGCAAGATTTCGGTTAATTGGGAAAGGTCTTGACAGCCACTACAAGAATAATAATGCAGTCATTCTAGCCTGCTGCATTTTGCACAACATTTTAAATGAGCACAACAGCGCTATAAATGAAACTTGGCAACAGGCTGCAAGTAACCTACGCGAACAACCAAATCGGACTAATATGTCTGCAGATTTTAGACAGCCTGCTGAAAAAATAAGAGCAGCTATTTCTAAATGTTGTCTAAACGGTAACAAATAAAGTTTATTTAATATAAATATGTTTGTTTCTTATTTCATTATAACATCACATTTCATTTTTAAATTGACCTATTTATTCCGAATTTTAGGAATTCGTTGATTTTCTCAACAGCTCCAACAAATCCGACTGGAATTTATCATTTTAAGCCGGACGTCCTTGTAGGACACATCAAAACCCAGCTTCCATAAAGGTCTGGGCCATCTCCATGTAAACATGGACAGTTTTTCGGGCTCCCTGCAACTTCTTGATGCTCTCCTACCAAATATCGATCAGCAGGAGCTGCATCTGCATGGTCCACCTCAGCTTGCCATCGGCGGTTCGCGTATTATTGACTGCATGTTCATACCTATTGCTTCGGCGACTTCCATTTTCAAAAATTTCCCGTCATCGTTGTTTACGTTTTCGTAGTGAATGTTTCACTTTCCACTTTCAAGAAGAAGAGTTCAGAGTTGCACCGAAAAATCATCGCATAAAATAGTCCGTCAAATTTGGAAAGGGAACTAACTGGGAAATTTCGGAACAGCAAAACCTTATGTACAATCCGTGCAACGGATTGTAGATGGTGGATGGATCTCTGTTGGAAGACGCTATTAGGGAATATTTTTTTAGAAATAGATTTAAATTAAATAATTGTAGCCAAGCAAGGATTTATCCAATGGTTTTTATGATACTAATTTAGCGTTATACCACTTAAGATATAAACCCAAAACGGATTTGGCAAAAGAAGCAATCAAATCGGTTAAGTTTTAACGAAATAGTTTGGTTTTTTAATTTTTTTAAATTTAGTTTTAAGAGATAATTTAATGAAAAAAAATTAATTTGATTGTTTAATATTCCCGTTATCCAATAATAATTTGGTTGAATTTTATATAACATTTATAAAGGTAGAAAACTGCACTTGAAGTTTAAGATGGTAAGTGTGCCATCACTTAAGTTCCTCACAGTAAGATAAATTCGGGTATGGGCATATCCGCGGGTCGCGGATAAAAAAAAGAATATAAACTTTTCTAATTTTTTTGTTTGCCATTCGATAGCATTTTGTTAGCACTTTGCCTAGTGTAAATGATGGGGTTTATTGCGCTATCATTTTCATAATATTGGCAAAAACATGCGGTCGCGAACGTACGCAAAATGGAAGTCGACTTGGGCTTAATCTAGTAAAATGCAAAAGTCTGCGAATCGGGACAGAATATTCTAAAGCAATAATTTTACATTTAAAATGGATTCATGTAGCTTTTTATCGAGTCTGTTCCCAAGGAAATACCTCAATTTGTTTTTTTTTATTGAATTAAGTACCATTCGCGAACGTACGATTTTTCCATGTTGGTTTATTAACAGTTAATTGAAAATTTTTTTTGCCCTCTTTGGATTTTTATCTTATTAGATTGCAATAAAGAGATTTGGTACAAAAAGTGCAAACAAATTATATGTTTTCCTTGAGAAATAATTAGTAAATTTTTTCAGTTTTCAGGGAAGTTTTTTAACAAAACAAATAAAATTTGCTATGGTTCCACTGTATTATGAAAATATGGTTATTTATTTATGAAAACACGCAAAAAATACGATGGTTATGAAGATTTTTTTGTTTCGGTCCTGTTTGACCATTTACCGGATATGCCCATATTTAATACTTACTTTTCAAAAATCTGTCCATGTTTAAGTATCACCACACTCACACCAACACCACCAACAAGTATAACTAAAATAAAAATATTCTGTTAATAATTTATAATGAAATTAAATGATATATGTACTTACAATTCGTAAGTATTCCTCTATGTGCCTTGGAGACGGAAATACATCGATGTTGCACCGCTAAACATCGATTTTGCTGATGTTTCGAAAACATCGTTGTCATCGATGTTGGTGTAGAGTCCGCCTCCGTGGGCAAAAATGGAGAAACGGGTCCGGCCTCCTTCTAGTTTTTCTGACCGGTTCTTCACCTGCAATTTCCACCGGAGCCCTTTTTTCCCTTTTCTCGGGGAAACCACTTCGACCGAGTTGTCTTCGTCACACTCTTGCACTGTGGAGTCCTCCGTGGGAGACCTTTGCAGGAGGAGTGTAACGAAGACAACTCAATCGAAGTGGTCTCGCCGAGAAAAGGGAGGAAGAGGGCTCCGGTGGAAAACGCAGACGAAGAACCGGACAGAAAAACTAGAAGGAATGCCGGAACCGTTTCTCTCATTCATTAGAAGAACCCGTGAGAAAGTCTAGAAGGAAGGTAGCCCCAACATCTTTTCATCCAATCATTTCTCTTTTTTTTTTAAATACTTGCAATTTACTATCTTGAATTCCAGGAATCCACCGATACGGACATCGAAAAGGTATAGGCTTAATCGGTAGCGCTGTCATTGGTTTTCAATTATTAGAGAAACCACAATAAAAAACAACATACCCTTTTACTCTCCGAGTGATGAGTTTACTAAGAAAGAAAGACGACTTTAGGCAGCCAATTTTGATATTTTTTGGAATTTTAACCAGTATTTTTTATAATAAATATTTACTGTCAAATCATTAACCATAAGTTAATAAAGAATTTTATTTACTATCTAAACCAGTTGATTTTTCGAAACAGAACCTTAAGCTCTGACAAAAAACTCTACGATGACGAGATAAAGCAAAGAAAGTAATAATTGTTTTTAAACTTGCATTTGAACAGTTTTAAAAATTTTAAAAACACTTGGGGTCCAAAAAATTTTTTGCTCAGCAAACCCTTTGGGAATATTTTTAAAATGATTTAAAAAAAAAAGATTTAAGTTAAATCATTTTAGCCAGAAAAGGATTTATCCATTGGCGACACATAAATAAATAAATAGTCCCGCTCAAAAGTTGTAGTTTCTCAAAGATTTTCGTCAGGGCTACAGCTGTTGGACGTACACTCTCATGTAAAAAATTACTAAAAATATAGCATTACAAATACTCTGTGTGTATCAAGTTGATACTTTCGATTTAATATTCAAAAAAATTTAAAAATAAACTTATTTAACCCAGTGAACAAAAGTTCCACAACAAAAAAGATTCACACATTGAAACATTTATTTTAGTACACTATGAATTTTGTTTTTAAAACTAAAATTAATTTCGCTTGCTAGCCAATCCAACCCACTCGTACTTGAAGTATTCCTTTGGCAAGGGCAAACAGTTCTCGTGCAACTCGATGGCGTCCTTATCCATGCTCCACACCATAAAGTTTCGCCCACAGGCGATCTGTTTATGGAGAGCGAAATGGACGCGGTCGACGAAGTGGGACTGGCATTGGCGGCATTCAAATACCCTATCCTGGCTGTCCACTTTCAGAAACTTCCTTATATTCCTGACTTCCAGCAGACCCTGAAATCCACCAACCACGTCCGTTTGAATAATAAAGGTGGGCGTGTTGTCCACGTCGTCTCCACTAAGTAAATGGGGCACAACATATAATTCTTTGGAGGTGCTACAAACCCGAAAGCTGTAGAGGTTTACCTTCAGAGTTGAAGGAATAGGTCGTCCAGATTCTTCCTGATTAATATACGTTTCCACAAGCTTTATTAAATCGGAGGACAATTTATTACTTCCTCTTTCAAGGCATTCAGCAGCATTTTTCACTTGATATTGTAGAGGAAGTTTGGAAACAGGCATGGACTTGCTCTTGGGGGAGTGGCAAAACCTCTTTACAGTCACCTTCATCCTTCTGATAACACACGCCTCCAATGGAACTTTATGATGAAGCAGGACATAGTTACTTATCTTCTCCAAAAGCATGGAGAATATCATGTCGACCGCCTCGCCAATATCCAAGTGGTTTTCAATATTTAATGGGCTGCTTTCGTAGTACATACGCTCTTTTTTCACGTCCACATAGAACCCAACAGAGGCCTCTAATTTATCAGTACCAAAACTTAAGAATCTGAGCAATTGGGGAACCGCATCGATCCCAGAATCCAAGAGAAAGTCGTTTGTTCTGGCTGTGATGCTTCCATCGCATAGGATAAATTCTTCGATAGCCTGATCCTCGATCGTTTTCAGGATCTGCTTTTCCTCGGAACCCAGCTGAATGCAATAGCTTCTGTTGTTTTTAATATCATTTCGCCAGTGATGATTGTACGGTTCGCTGGCTGGAACTCGACTTTCACAGGTGGCACAATCCGCTCTCCTTGAACCGTTGGCGAAAAACTGGTGGCGAAAAACTCGCGAGTTTTCCACGATCTCGAAGACAAAACGCGATTGTGTTCGACGGGCCATGACTAGAAAATTACTGGTGCTGGGTGTTTCAATACAGTGGGTTTTATAAGAAGTTAAGATTCCAAAAGCAGCTTAGGTAGAAGATAAAATAGTACTTTATTGGTCGAATTTGAAGGCAAGAAGATGAACCAGGTGCTCTTGATCTGAAACTTAGACAGGTAGATAACTTAGTTGCAGGTAAAGCGCTTTTTGGAAGATTGACAACTTACTAAGCCTCTCTATAAGAAACGTGCAAATACAAAAGAACAAAGCCAATTTTTATGACCTAAAAGGATCAACGAGAGTTTTTCCCAAATAAGAATTGTTAAATTTGGCTTAACAAGTTATAGCGGTCATCCAGAGCAATTCGCACGGGGCAGCTTAATCCTGTGTGTGTGCCGACCGTTGTTCTACACTATTTGTGTGGCGGCAGAGATCGAGCCGAGCAATTTCCTATGCCCATTGTTTTAAATCCATTTCGAAATTGCTCGAGATAAAACTTTTTATTAAGAAATTCCAAGAATATAAATTGAAAAGACCATGGTAACCGGCAAAGAGGAGCTACGAGATAGACATAATTCACCTTAACTTTTAAGTTCAATCGTAAAAAACAACTTTATCAATTAGTGTGACTATATGTGATCAAATCTATTCGAGTTCAACAAGAGAGAACGCTATAGTCTATGCCATCGACTATCAGATACCCGTTACTAAGCTAAGTGTACTGGGAGTACTCAGGGAGAGCGAGACATATAGAGATATACAAGAAGCAAAGCGTCTGTTCACAAGATTGCACTTTTTTTTGCTGAATCAAAGCAAAATCCCATTTAAATATTTCAAAAATATAAAAAAAATGTGGGTGCTAAATAAGTTTTAGCGTTATGGGCGTTAAAGTGGGAGTGGCACCCTGCTAAAGCAAACTTGAGCACAACTTTCTAGCCTTTATAGATTAAAAGATGTCGGCGTTCATACGGACGGACAAACGGACAGACGGACATGACCAGATCGACTCGGGTAGTGATCCTGGTCAAGGATATATATACTTTATAGGGTCGAAAATGCTTCCTTTTACCTGTTACATACTTTCGACGAATCTAGTACTCTACGAGTAACGATTATAAAAGGAAGGACACAAAAGTCTGAGAAACAAGGGCAAACAAAATTCACAGCGGAAGCCGTGGATGCAATGTTTTTCTAGTTTTCAGACAATTTTTCCATTCAGCAATATTTGAAAAAATGAAAACACTGCCCAGCCCAATCCTTTTGCTAAAATATCTAAGTGGGATTTAAATCAAAAAGGCACTAGTATTTAAATATTTCTATATTAACATTTATTTATGTTTTTGCAGGTTCTGTTGTCTTAATTTTTATCTATCGATACACGGATGTTTCCATTGCCCTCTTGCTTACAAATTTAGCCAAATCAATAAATATAAAAGCAACAAATTAAAGACCAGCTTTTGCACTTGGTGGCATACAATGCTTACAACACTTATGGTACCCGACACTCAGATATCTTACAATCTTCTTGTTTGCCTGTTAACTCAAACCAAAAGGATTTTCATTCCTTTTTTCACTGACGGACTTTCTTTTTGTCGGCATATCATATTTATCAATTGCATTAGCCCATTTCTCACTCTTACAAAAATAAACAGACACCCATTCACACTCATATATTCTAAGTCAACAGGTTTGCAATTTGAAATCCATAGCACTTGGAGTATATTCGGAGATAAATATTTGGGTCCTAGACTTTAGACGCTAGACGCTGAAATCAAACCAAAAGCGAGAATACCCTAGACACTCTATAGTTATAGATATATAGTATTTAGTACATACAGGAGTAGTATTGCCTATCATTAGAAGTTTGCGCTTGCTTTTAACTGGAATCTTTGTTCACATTTGTTATATGTTGAGCTTTTAATATAAATGTATTCGAAAAATTTGAAATTTTATCTAGTTTCTTAGCCATATGAAAGCTCTAAAAAATGGATTTAAAAAGTATTCAGACGACCAAATTGGTTTGCTCTTCATTTGCGTTAATCATTAAAAAACATTGTCTTACTTTTTGGATATATTTAAGAATATTTTCTCGTTGAATTAAGCAATTCATCGACCAGCCCAGCAATTCCAAATTTCACTATAATGGTGTTCTACTAACAGGCAACCGTCAGTATGGGAACAATTTCAACTAATTGAAATACTTAAAGAACTCTTTAAGTAAAGAATCAAAAACCTTTAAAACTCTGGTTACTGCCATTGTAACGCTGGTTTAGAATGTGAAAAATTGAGGTATTTTACAATTACCTGTTATTATTAGATAAAACATTAGTGAGGTTTTTTCTCTGTCTGTGATATTGATTTACAATTTCCCCATTACACCTAGAACTCTACGAGCAATCTATACAATCTTTAAGTACCAAGTTTTGCAATAAAAGTATAAATTATCATTCTAACGTAGATATGGCTGTGTAGAATGTTGACTTTTTCCGAATCTCAAAGGAGAATCCCCCCTTAGATGCTATCCAGCAGCGCATCTTGCGTTTGGGGATCCGTGGTCATCTCGTCGCTGATATCGCCCACCGAACTGGTCACCGTGGACAGGATCGAGGATATGGTGGCGTTGATCACCTCGGCACTCCCGGTGGCCACCGTGCTGTAGAGCGCCAGGGCCGTGGTGGTGATCACGGTGGCCAGTGCCGGACTGGCGGTGCTGGTGGTGGAGCTGGAGCTGCCGAGGGTAAGCATGGTGGTGTTGAGCAGGAGTGGCGCCAGCGTGGTGGCCCCCGTGGTTGGTGGACTCATCGTGCTGGTGCTCGTCAGCGGCAGCGGATGCGGCAGGTGGCCATGTCCATGCCCGTGACCATGGAACTGCTCCAGCATCGAGGCGGGCACGTAGGGATACGAGGGACAGGGATTCACCAGCTGCGGCCCCAGCATGCTCTCGAAGACGTATCCAATCAGGGAGCCCACCGTCAGGCCCACGTTATACGACAAGGTCATTATGTTGCCAGTAACCTCCTTCAGAGTTCCCGGCACCTTTGCCGGGGCCAACATCATGGGCAAGCTGCCGGCTAATCCGTTGGTGATACCCAGAGCGATGGTGAAGACAAAGGGCGCTGTTTCGCCGGAGATCACTGGCCGCTGGCGAGGAGCACAGCAGAGGAGGAGCAGCGGCACCAGGACGATCCTCAGCCCGGACAGCAGGATAAGCTGGCGACGTGACCACGGATACGGACTGGCGGCCAGGATCTTTCCCACCACATCCGACGTGTTGAAGCAGAACATCAGCAGCACCGGCATCCAGGAGCGAAGGGCACAGGACTGCACTTCCACCTCGATGCCCGGATACAGGGAGAGGGTCACGCAGTAGGCGAGGGCGATGCACACCATGTGCGGGTAGATCACCTGGGCCACCCGCCACCGGGTCACGAACCCCTCGCGGATGTCCCCCAGCTTACTCGGTCGGCAACGGCGTGGGGTGATCACGTGCTCCACCTTGAAAATATATTATATTATAGAAGTAACAATATTTATTAATTTAAGAAATATTTTATATGCTTTCTTAATATCCTGTTTTGAGATTAGAATAGCTCATATTTTAAAGATCTGAGATAATTAGTGTTGTTCAACACTTTCTTAGACAAGGGTTAAAGTAAAGTAGAACTATGGTAACGTCAAGACTAATACAATTATTAATAAATAAGTGAAGTCAGTATTATTAACAGAATATTAATAATTATAAAAGATGGTAGATAAATTTTACCTTAAAGGCCACAGTCGTGGGCGTTGTGGGCTCCTGTGCGGGGGGTGTGGCCGGAAGCTCGGGAAGTTGTCCCAAGGCTTCGATGCTGCTTTCGCCGGCAGTCGGATTGGACAGTTCGTAGACGGGGTTGCTAAAACTCAGGGTATTTCCGGTGCCTGGTGGACCCACCGCTGTGGTCGTGGTGTGCGTGCCGTCCATTGAGAGCACCCCGTATCGAGTACTACTTGGAACTCCATCTACCTCCTGCTGTATTTGAAAAAGAAAAATAAAAATATTATAAGTATTACGTTTTTTTTAAATTGATAAAATAATTAGGACTGAGAATTTAATTCTAATAGACAAAACTCTTTAGAGTTAAAATATGTCTTATAAGATAAAAAATTCATTTATTTTGACATACTAAGATACTTGCTGTCCGTGATACTCGTATAGTTTATATACATATATCTGATGTTAAAAAGCTCTCTCAATAAAGAGGTAGAGGTACTGATTTGGAACTACATGATATGGATATACGGTTGTCGAAATTATGAATGAAATAAATATTTTAGTTCCTTAGTTAAGTTATGTAATTAAATGGAAACAAATGGAAAAGTGTATGGCTTCCATAAAACGTTTTAATAATAGGTTTAAGCTTCAAAATTATATTCCATTAAAGCCAACGAAAATCGGTTGGGAATAAAAAAAGGTTTCGTAATCTCTTAAATTAGGAGTTTCAGGAGCTCACCTCATCCGGCCGGAGGACTATCTTTGAGCAGGCCTCCACATGGAACCGCACAAACGGCGAGTTGATGGTGGCCACGTGCAACAGGTAGCTGAAGAGTATGTAGAGCGTGGAGGTCAGAAAGAAGATGACCGTGGACACGCGATCGTTGTTGATCAGCAGCTTGGTAACGACTCGGTTGGAAGACACCAGGAATCCGGCGATACTCTCGCCGGCCATCACCGCCTGGGTGTACTGTTTGGGCAGCATGGAGGCGAATCCGTAGAAGCTCGACTGCTGCACGGTGCACCCGATGGCGGTCAGGGCCACGGCGGACATGTTCACCAGGTAGGCGGTGTTGGAGGCGAACATGTGCCAGGCCACCTCGCAGACGGCCACGAAGATCAGCGTGGTGAAGGATATCATGTAGCCGAAGAGCACTCGCGACTGGAACGGAGCCACCGACAGCACTATGTTGTTCATCAGCACGGTGGCGAAGGCCACGAAGATGTACGTCATCGACATGTCCAGGGCCACCGGACGACCCGGAAAACGAGCCTGCCAATAGTCCGCCGCGATGATAAAACTGCAAGGAAGAAAATATTACATCTTAGTTCATTGAAAATAAAACTGATGTACAATTTTCACAACGATTAAAAGATTACAACAAATAAATTGTTTTTCATTTTGTATTTCCTTGATAAAGCATTTGAGGTAAGATAAAAGTTAAGAACAGCTTTAAAGTCTGAATAAATACATCTCAAAATTCTACCAAAGCAATAAAATGTATAGCATATTTTCTAACAAGAAAGATTATTATTTATTAGTATATTATCTAAACAAAAATATTTATAGTTGGGTTTGTAAACATTTTTAAAGTAAGCTTTCTTACGGGCTTAAATATGGATTTTTTTTCTATTTTAAACTTATATTAATAATATTAAATCCTTTTAGAATGTCCTATCCTAAACAGAGTGTTTTAGGGGACTTAGGGACCCGTCTTCAACATACACTCACCTATTGTAGGGCAAAACAAATCCAATTCCCGCTGCCAAAAGAGCCAGGTAGACGGAGTGCCGCTGATCCTTGGGGGCCCGTGTGTCGAACTCGGGACTGTCCATACTGCCAGGATGCCTCAGACCGGGTCCAGTTGCGGAATGGGTGCTCCTCGAACGCCCAGAGCCCCGTCCATCCAGTGGCTCATAGGTGGTTTCCTGTCCACCCACATCCATGGTCGCGAACTCTTGTTTGCGTCGTGATTTCCGGTGGAAAATCTGTTTTTAATTACTGCCCGTTGTTAGACGACCCGATGGATTTTGGACCTTGGCATTATTTTCCAGATTGGCCACTAAGTGGGCGTGGGGGCTCTGTTGTTTTCCCTGCCGTACTTGCATACAGGGTGCGGATTATACGGTTTAACCTTACACAAATCGATACAAAACAGACACAAGTAGCTGCCCTTGCAATTAGCCACTGGGCACGTTTATAGAACCATCTGTCGTATGATTTGGTTGCACCCATACATTAAATTTAGCTCTAGCACATTTACTGTTCACTGGATTTATTTAAACCGCTTTTCGAGGCACATCTGCTTGCCAATCCTTCGGTTGTCAAAGTGCTGGCATTTTTCTCACCACGCCCGCCACTGCGCATGTGGCGTATGATTGATTTTATTCAACTAACTTACCAGCCTGTTGTTGTTTTGTCGGCTAAGTGAATGAAACTCTTCCTCTTTTCTTGTAGCATGACCAAATTCGAAGTGGTTACAAATCCAATTTGCATTTTTATCTTCTTGAACTCTTTTCTTTTCCTAAAAATAATTGGATATAAATCCCAATTGCATTTTTATCTTCTTGAACTCCTTTCTTTTTAAGCTCTTTATAATACAGAAACATAAGCTACCTTGACAAATACATCAATACAGTCGACTTGAACATTTTTGAAACGTTTTTTAAATTGGTATATTTTAAAATTTAACAACCATAATTGTGATTCCTGACCAAAATGTACAAGCGGAATGAGTCGGATTCTTTTGTGCCCATGTCCATTAAGAAATTAGTCGAGGAATGTCGAAGTTTCAAGGATATAAGTTCGTTGAGCATTACCGAGACCGAAATTATGGGATCATTGGCCTCCATAGAACCATATTGCAAACATCTTTCGCAACTGACAGTCCAAGTAAAAGACAATCATGACATCGAAGAGTACGAAGCAGTGACCGACTGGCCCAATCTAAAAACTTTCACCTTACTAGGACGGCATGAGCCGGGCAGTTTGGAGCCTTTTTTAAAGAATGCAGCTAGGAATGGCTTCCTTGCACACCTGCATCTCGACACCGCGGAACTTGATGTGGATGAGGTGGCTGCACTGACCTCGATCAACTCCTTGAAGTCACTGAAATGCGGTTTCAGCGATCACCAGTCCATCGGACTCCTATCCAAAATGGCCAGTCTGAATACGGTGATTATAACCACCGAGCTGAATACCGAAATTACGAAGCATGTGGCTATAATCTTCAAGAATGCCAAAGGTGATATGATGGTACAGTTAAAACAGAGGGGATTTCAGTTCCGTATGGAACGGCAGACCCAACTATTCGTTGTTTACCTACCCCAACACGATCCTGTTGATATGACCGTGCTGGCTCCCCTTTCGGAACTCTACGAAATAAGATACCTCACCATACGAGGACCCCATCAGAGTGGCTCGCTGGCGGATCTTTTTCGCGGTTTCGGGGCTGCTAATTCGTCCAAATTGCAGGAGGTGGTAATATACAGTGATATATTCTTAACTGGCAAAGAAACCGCCGCCGTTGCTTCCATTAAATCCTTGAAAGTGCTGGAATGTGGATTCGTAAAGCCACTGAATACCGAACAGCTCTCGAATCCTACCGCACTGCGGGAACTCTGCATTGTAAACTTACCCAAGGGCTCTATGAAGGACCTCTTTGCAGCCCTGGCCTCCAAAAAGGAGCCCACACTTCAGTACTTTATTTTAACCGATGGCATGCTGCATTGCGAGGAAACCGAAGAGCTGGTGAACATAAAGTCCCTTAAGTATCTGGTATGCAGATTTCAAGATGTTGGGGCCCTCGAGCGGATCGGAGAGCTTCCCCGTTTGGAATTTGCCTACATCACTGTGAGGCAGAGGAATTACCAGTCCACCGAGCTGTCGAAAAATCTTCTACGGTTTCTCGTACACTGCCAAAAAGAAGGACAGGTCAAATTTCGTGGCTGCTGTGTGACATATAGTCAACTCGAAGGCCTTGTCATTGTGGTCTTTAAAAATAAGGAATCTGACGCGGATTTGTGCGCTCTGCTGGGATGGTTGGGTAAAATTAAACATCTCCGGATAAGCGGCCGTCCTGCCGTTGGTAATCTTAAAGCCCTCCTTGAAGGCGTACTCCTTCACAATAAATTGGAGCTTTTGCTGATATCCAGGCTCAAGCCCCATGAGATTCCAGTTGTGGCCCAGATGGAATCCCTTACAAAAATTACAGTTGGATTTCTCCAACGCTCGAAAGTAGAGCTCCTCGCACGTTTGCCCCACCTGAAATGGCTTTGCATCACTGTACATCTGCCGGGATCGTTGGAATGCCTATTCTATGACTTAGCGGAACGGGTGCCGACCTCTAAGCTCGAAACCCTGACTATTCTGGAGGTTTATCTAAAGCCCGAAGAGTTGGCAGAAGTGTCCAGAATCCGCTCCCTGCGACGGTTTAGGTGTGGCCTTGTGGATCCCTATAATGAATGGTCCCTAACGGAACTGAGCGTCTACTCTCTGCTGGAGGAGTTGTACATTCAATCGTATCAAAGTGGTTCCCTGGTGGAGTTATTCAGGGCCATCAAGCCCATGAGTTACTTCCATCGCCTGATCGTTCGGGGTTGCCGTTTGACCACCAGGGAAGTGAAAGCTATCAAGGGTATACGAACGCTGAGGACACTTCAATGCAGCCTAGATAATGCCAGGGATATAGGATTCCTGGAACGTCTGCCATTGCTGGAGGAGCTAGTCATCGAATCAATTGGCATAATCCATCGAAATCCGTTGGCAATATTGGCCAACAAGGAACGACAAACCCTCAAGAAGCTGGTGATCAAGAACAGATCCTTGGGATCTAACGATTTTAAGAGCTTGGCTTTGATGTCGAGTCTGAGAACCCTCGATATCATAATTCACAATGCAAGTGATATCGAGTGCTTGGCCCTTTTAAATTTGAGCGAATTGAAACTGAACTGCCCTCAAGAAATTAATATCACAGCTCTCCTCGTGGCTTTGAGCGACAAAGATCCGCATGTGCTCTGCTCCTTTGAGCTAATTAACAACGTCTTGGCAGAGAAGCCCACTAAACTTCTCCTGCAAGTAAAGTCTTTAAGAGTTTTGAAAATTGGTTTCAGCGATCTCGAGAGCCTTGACCTGCTTTCCCAACAAACTGAGCTTGAAGTGCTGGAAATTAAAAATAAAACTTTCCGAGTCAATCATATTATAAAGATCCTAAAAAACTGCCGAAAGCTGCGGGAAATCCATTTCCTAGAACGTAATGAAAAAATAAACACTGGGTTTATAAGCCAGTGCATGGATACTTTGAAGACTGTTCGAAATCCCAGGGATCAGCCAGCTTTGCAGATGTATTTTGACAGCCTGTATTGCATTTCTGTTGAACAGGTAATTACGAGTTTATTCCCTTTATATTACGCCATAATTTTTGTTTTTTTGTAGCAATACAGCGTTGATGAATCCATCTTGGCCATTAAAATTAAAACGCGTCCACCCATTGATGATTTCAATGACGAAATTTTCCTTGAACCATCAGAAGACACTTCCGATAGCGATGAGCCCAAACATTTCGTTCGAAATCCGGAAAAAGTGCCAGAAGAGTCAGAGTCCGATAGCACAGAAACGACTGATTTTGATGATTAATTAATTTTACACAGTACATAGACATATATTTAATAACGGATAAAAATAGGTTTGTAGTTCTCATGTAACAATCATTTGATTCATATAATATTTATTTAAAATGTAAAATTTATCAAGCCAAAAAGCCAATTAAAATTTTGTGACCAGAATTTAAAGCATATAAAGAAAAAGCATTTGTAAAACAATACTTCCAAATATCAAGCAATTTGAGAATGCTTGAAAACAACAACAGATAACTTTTAGTTGTAGAATATTTTGTGATTGAATAACCTCAACGGAATGAGCTGTAATTACTTTTTTATATTGTATTATTTAATAGGGGAATATAGTATGCAGTCGTTATTAGTGATTTTTTTTCGATGCATCATCATAGCTGGGTGGCAAGTTCTAAAAGTAACAAAAAATATCAGAGTAAGACATTGTCCAATATGTATTTGTATTATACATACAAAATAATTTGGTGGTAAGTCACTGTTTCCTGATCCACTGGGTCTGCCTTGGTTGTAGGGTGTGTTATAAGCACTTGCTGCAGCTTCTTCTTCTTTGGAATCTGGTTGAAATAGGAAACGGAGCATATGTAGCACAATCCACTTCAGTGATATTTATAATGAAAATATATTCATAATATAATTTGTTGAAACCATTGCGATTCACCTCTTACAACTTGTGTTTATGGTATTATAGCTGGAATCAGTACAACACACATGGGTCTTTGGATTGGATAGAAATAATGATGAGTGCTGCCAAATCTTGCTACTAAGGGTTCGCATTTTGTGGGTGGTAAAGAAAAAGTTAAAGAAGAAACCATTAAACAAGTCACTTAACCAAAAGGGGTAGACTAAACTAATTTAAGACTCGGCTTTTGTTAGTATTTTCTTTGGGCATAAGTAATATCGAAAGAATAAATCTTACTTGTCGGGATGGCTATATGAGGTACAGTAGTTTGCGTTTAATTACACTGTAAAATATGTCAAAAGAATAATGTTTTCTTTTAGGACTGGAGAATAAATTTGTTTGGTTTAGTAATAGGTTAAATCGAGTATTGGATATTAGGTGAAATTACTAATTAGTTTTTAATTGTAAAAGTAATAAAATCATAATCTGGTATAAGTGTATAAGGTATATTTAAAACATACACTTTCAATATTTGTTATTTTAAAAGAAGACCTCGGCTTTACACAAAATTTACTATACACATTTTTCTAAGCACCAAAAATTATCAAACACTTTTGTAAACCAAGAAAATAGGGGAAACTAAAGATGTATTCATTAGCTTGCAGATGATGCTACTCTTGAATCTTCTCCATAGTGCTTGAAACTTTAGTTGATTTTTGATTAGTTTGCCGGATTTCCTGCTTTTTTTAAATGACTTTAAAAAAGTTGTGTTCATTAGGTTAAAGGTTTTCATGCTTCTAATTTCTTGCTTTTCATTCTTCTTATTCTTTTGTTTCTTTCTCTTCTGCAAGAATCAACCAATTTAATAAAGTGCATTAAGGAAGGGAATGATAAATAAATGATGAGAAAAACAACTACATGGAGGATGAGTTTTACTCACTTCCTGGGGGCAAGCTGAAGCCCATAAAGCTGGCTCCAGATGCAGCTGCTCCTCCGGCTGCTCCCGCTGCCTGTTGGCCCGGAGGCGGTGGTCCAGCCGGATATCCATTTGGATATCCATTCGGTTGCTGGAGTCCCGGGGTATTAAATCCACCGGGAACATTGCCGTATCCGCCATAGGGTTGCGGTCCATTGTACGTCTGAGCCGGGGCGGCATACGGTGGTCCAGGGGGACAATTGGGCGCGCAGGAGGCGTACGGCGGAGGCTGCACATAGCCTCCGGCCCATCCTTGAGGGCCGTAACCCGGCTGCTGTTGTTGCTGCTGCGGCGGCGGTGCTGAAAAACCATACCAATTGGGTTCATTCGAAGACGCTGCCTGCGGCTGTTGTGGTGGTGGCTGTTGAGCCGGTGGTGCTAAGACGAGAAAGAGAGGAGTGCCCAGTGGGTTAATCGAAGCCTGTGCGAAGCGTGAATTTCGTGGGTAAGCCAGCTTGCCAATTCGCGATGCAGTGACAGAACAAAAGCCGAGTGCTGATTGGGTGGAATGACCGCCTGGTTCACTTACCGATCCCCGGGTATGGCGGCGGATTGTCGCTCATGAAGACCGTATTTGGCGCCGGGCCACTGAAGGCATCGTGCTGCGGCAGCCAGCCGTAGTAGCCGGGTGGTGGCTGATACGCCGGCGGAGGGGCCTCATTCCAGGCTCCAGCCGGTTGATAGGGTGGCGGATCATCACCGGCCAGTCCACCGCGATGGTAGTTGTTCATTGCCGTTTTGGCAGACCTCAGCAACGCCTGGCCATACCTATAAACATATAGAATTGTAAGTAAAGTGAGGTAGCAAGGGTAAGAGTTATATTGGAAAACTAAAAATACCCTTGCAAATTTACAAAAGTTGCAGCTTGTTTTTAAAATATGTAGAAATTTGCATCTTTCAAATTGATTAATCAAAACAATTTAGAAATACTCAATTTACATTATAGTATTACATACTTCAAAGTAACACAATCGTTAGCTTTTTATGAATATGGCTATTACTATTTCTGGTATTTAACTAAATATCTTAAGAACGGGTTTTGCCAACGACATTGGAAATAAAAAAACTTAATTAATAAAGAATTATTTTAAAGTTTCGACAAAAACTTAAATGATGTAAAAATTACAGTCTGGGAAAATATAACATCTTAAGATATGTATGTATGTCCCAAAATTTCTAAGGATATTGGAAAAATTGATTGGATTTGGTAAATAGCTTTCTAGTAACTAGCCTCCGAAAGTTATGTTAAACATAGATTAGATTATCCAATCGTCTTACTCGATAGCGCCGCCTGCCTTGAAATGGAGCTTGAACTTGACTTCTCCCACGTAGTTTCCATTTGGCTGGGCGCGCACCTTTCCCTTGATGTAGTTGGCCCCAAAAACAGGCTGTTCGATCTCCACATCCGAAAGGGCCACAAAGGGAGCACTGAAGGACTGCATCGAGTCGGAGGACTTCTTGGTATTGAAGATCATGCGGTGGGAGGTGAGGTAAATCCTGCCCGCCTTGGAACCTTTGAAAATGGGATTATCCTGACCGGAAAACTCCATTGAAACGCTGTCGCTGTGGAGCAGTATGCTATGAGCAGAGGGAAAGGGTGACATTAGCCGGGTTCTTATCTTATTGCCGGTTGAATTCCCAATATATTCCCAATAAATGAGCAGCCACACACGTCAGTGTTTACATTCATGACGTCAGGATGCCCCCACCTATTCGGTGGTAATTTAAGGACTTTCCCGGCTACTTACTACTCTCCAGCGTGGATGAGCACGCCATTGTTGGCGTGGGCCGTATTAACCGACATATCAAGTGGTTTTTCCGACTATTTTCACAGAAATTTGCACGAATTTCACCAACCCAACTACGTTTTGTTTTGACAGCTGATGATTCATAAAGAAAAGTGTGGCAACGCCAAGGGAAACACTGGATAAGTCGTGCGTGATTCACTGGATGCAATCGATATTAAACTTAGGGTGACCAGTTCTCGGAAACGCTCCTCTCTAGAAGGAATTATTTTTTTACCTTACCACTACCTGCCGTACAATTATTGGGGGCGTTAATATGCGTAAGTGATAAGATAATGAGTTAAAAAAGCTCTTAAAATGTGAAGCAAAGTAATACAAAGCCAGGACAACCCATGGAAAAGTCAAGATTCGCTGCATTTGTGTTATTTTTTTACTTTTATCAGCGGGGGACTTACGCCATTTTGGAGCCCTGCCACCCCCAGTTTTCTGGGTCTATCGAAAATTGGGGTCTCAGCTGATTGGCTCTTTTGTTTTGCTACCGGCTTCGCATTGGGGCTTCCCTTTGTTGACTTAACTTACCATATCTATAAACCTCTTGCAGTACCGCTCTTTGGGACCATGCCGAATGGCGTAAGTTTGCCAAATCACCCGAACTTCCTCAACCAACTGGCGGCTGCCATTTCCACGGCAGCCTCGACGACATCGGTCGTGGGAAATCCCTCGTCGCCGCCCAAACAAAACCAGAATAAGATGGCCAAGCCCCAACAGCAACCGCAGGGGAGTGCGCCCATGGATCTGGAAAATGAGAACGAACACTCCGCGGATGTCAGCTCTACGACGGCCCACAAGGATCCCAAGTTGCAGGCCACATCCTCATCGCTGTCCCTGCCGGACTCGGCGCAATTATACCTGAATGGATTGATGCACACGCCTCCTGGATATTTGTATTTTCCGGCTGCCCAGGCGGGTGGTGCTCCTGCTCCTGGAAATGCACCCGCGACAGGCGGAGGATCCACAGCAGCAGCTTCAGGAGGTAGCGCCGCCAATGCCCAGATGCTAATGGATCCCACGGCCATGATGGCAGCGGCCATGCAGCAGATGCAACAAATGCACTACGCAGCGGCAGCTGCAGCGGGAATGACCACTGAAGCTGGAGCAGGACTAGAAGCAGCGCTCAGTGCGGGTAAGGAATCCAATCACAGAAAGCCTATGGTATATTTAGTAAGACCATTCCTCAGATGGCGTTACACCGGCTGGCCTCAAGGAGGTGATCAAGACCAAGAACTGCATCCTGTTCCCTCCCAATCCGAACGCCCCACCACCCACCATAAGGGAGCGACCACCAGGCTGCCGGACTGTGTTTGTGGGTGGACTCCCGGAGAACATAACCGAGGAGGTTATCCGTGAGATTTTCGAGTCGTGCGGAGAGATCACCACGCTGCGCATGTCAAAGAAGAACTTCTGCCACATTCGCTACCGCCAGGAGGGGGCAATAGACAGAGCCATCTACCTATCCGGCTATCGATTGCGTATATCAGCTCTAAATGAACCACCCAACTTTGGACGCCTGCATGTGGACTATGCACAGGCACGGGATGATCAGTATGATTATGAATGTCGGCAGAGGCAGCATCAGAGGGAGCAGCGGCATCGGGAGCGCATGTCGATGGACAGGATGCGATCGCAGTCGCCGCCACCAATACCGCATTATACGGATCACGAGGCCACGGCCGTGGCGGAGCACCTGCGCACCAACGAGACCTTCGTAAAGGCCATCCAGACGATCACTGCCTGGTTGGAGCGGGGAGATTGCACCAAGCGGAATGCTAATGTTTTCTATTCGATGATCCAGAGCACTCATGCCCACGTACGAAGGCTCCATGCTGACAAACTGCAACTGGAGGAGGATCTCAAAAAGGCCAGGGACAGCTACCGCAACCAAATGGGCACCATGTCCACGCAATGTAAGTGTTCCGGCCTTCAAGACGGAGGATCAGCTTTCTTAGCTCTAGTCTAGACGGGAATTTAGGTGCCGCTCCCACTTTGAAATCCTTTTTTTCTGTTTCGTTGCGCCCGGGTTAGCCTTTTAGCGTCTGTATATCTGAACAATCTACCAGCGTACTACACAACCACAAACACCTACACTCAAACACACCATTCCCACCCAACACACTCTTTAGCAAATCTAGTCATCGAATTATTAAATGCCAAAACTCCACATAAGAACTTACCGTCTAAAATTTGCTCGCCAAAAGTCGGAGAAGCAAGACCAAAGAATCCAAGCAGGATCAGGTAAAGACCAGCCAAAAAGGACAAAGCCCAAACCGCCGCACAGTGCAAAGGTCATTGGAAGAGGCGATCATCGAAGTCTATATGTTCCAAATTTTCTTTGGTATTTTATAAAGATGTTGAGCGTTAAACATATTGTACTAAGTTTATCAAGGAATCAAACATAATTGTTAGCTGTTGAAAAGTTAATTGTTAACCTTTACTAGAAAAGGTAATACTTAATTTTAACAAACTTAATAAACCACATCTAACCAGAATTCATTTAAGACCTGCTTACCGTGCTATTAAAATTGTTCAGTAAATCATTTTGCGAAATCATACATGCCTTTACTATAATAATACCAAAACTGAAAATCTAATTAAAGATCAGTTTGATTCCCTGATTATAATTAAAAATGCAAATATGCACATTGTGCATGTTGTCAGTCAGCCGTATCCTTATCATAATACATTAAAAAAAGGACGTGGACGTTGCAAAGTCAACAACCGATTTTGTTTGCACCACGTTGATTGCCTCATTCACTGAATCGCTCCACTGTGCGGCTGATTCTCACTCATTTCCACTGTGTCTCGACACCACCACAAAAGTCTCAAGTCTTATTTGGCCCAAAGGTTTGTAAGCCGCAAGGCAGAGAGCAAATTTAAACAATACATTGGAACAGTAAAGGAATTAACTTCCTTTGTAGACCCGAAACTGTCAGACTCGGACAAACATAAAGATAGGTAATCACGCTGTTGTATTCTCTCTAGATTGTACCTACATAATATATCAACCTTAAATAACCGTAACTATATTACATAAATAATTTCTATGCGAGGGTCTCTCCTGTAGTTTAATTAAATTTTTCATTTCTCACTCATTTTATTCGCAAAAGAAAAAGTCTAGTTTGACAAAGGTGAAGAGCAAAACTAAAAACCAATCAAGAAAAACAAAAAATACCCTCTGTCCTCCCTTAATATTATTATATATTATTGCATTATTGTTCAGTCACTCAGATTGAAAAAGTGTTCAATGCCGCTAGTCACAAGAAGGTTTGGGACCATTTCACCAAAGCCCAAAGAAAAAACATCGATCAATGGAAGAAGTTAGCCACGGTACGTACTAAAATGTTCAAATAATCAAATACGAACAACTTCAAAGATGTTGCAAAATGTGTATAAAAACCAAATGTCATTTACTGTCCAATAATTTTGATTCATTATTGTATCTCTCGATTTCATGTTGTATCTGTTCTTGTTGGTGTTGTTATTATTGTTGTCGAGTTGCTGTAGATGTTTAACCATTTTACTAACCCGTTTTTGTGTTATCAGTTTCAGTCAGCATGTCGTTCATTTACCAGTGCTATATAGTCATAACGTTCAATTCCATCGCTGACGCTTATGGTTGCTAATTGCTCTTTATTAATTGTTAATTTCCCATATTTCTCCTGTGCATTAATACTTCATTTAGTAGCTTGTACGTATGATTATCAAAATTCCCATATCTGCTGTGATGTCACCTAACAAAAGAAAGAAACCGTTTAACATCGATGTAATTTGCAAGCTTTAAAGTATTAATATCAATTAACTTATGTAGAGTAAGAATTACAAATTAGATTATCGGAACGGAAACTGTTTAAAAATTAGTGAATTAACTTTAAACAATTTCCTATTTGTAATCCTTTATAAGTCTCTTTCTATCAGGTCTTTTCGCATTTATAGCTTTCGCTCTTGATCTGTAATGCTTTAGTCTATCTTTTCTTGGCTTTGAAATATCATTTTTAATGGATTTTCTAATTTTAACTAAGCATTTGCATAACATTTTCGATAAGCTTTAAAAACTTAAAACTAAACTTTAGCCGAGTGTCCACAAGCTTTCAAATTTCTTTTAGAAATTTAAAATTATTAGAAGTCTTGAAGGTTTGATGGGCACTTAGTGAAATCGATTGGTTGTGGTAAATAGCAAAAGAAGAACTAAAATACATTGCTGCTGAGAAACATAATTTGTGCAACAAATACAAATTAATTATTAATAGCAAAAAAATTAATCAAAACAAATTCTAAAACTTTTTGAAAATGTGGCGAGGTAAGTAAGCGGACCAGAACAGTGTCGTAAGACAGAAAACAAATTTGATGCATTCTTTAAATACACAAATTTTAGAGCTAGGTTATAGATTTATAATCTTGTAAGCAATGGAACCGAAACAAAAGAAACCCATTCAATTAATAGAAATGGTAAATAATTAAAGTTATTTTCGCATGCCATGCAGGAACTTCGAACGGTCCAGATCACCGACGATGATGAAATGGAAATATCCGACGATGAGCGTGACTACGACAGACGCGGACCCAGCGCCAAGCGAATTCGCTATGACAGTGAGGGTTTAAAGGTAAGAAAATATTTATTAATTATATATATTTTCTGTAAAGTACCTTTAAATAATTACATTTAATTGTAAATCTTTTCAGGACGAGAACGACTCCCTCCGTTGTCAGCTGGAGGCCATAAGGCATGAGATGAATCTGGAGCGCAGTGATTACGTCCAACGTGAGAAACAAATAAAGGTGCTCCAAGAAACTATTCGCAACATGCAAACTCAGCTGCTGCAGACGAAGCTGCGCGAACAGAAGGACACCAAGGTCATTGAGCAGCTGGAGCGGAATCTGAAGGATGCCGGCGTAAAGCAACTTCTCCTGAAGACCAAGATCAAGGAAACTGCAGACAAGCTGAAGGACAAAGAGGCACACAGTACCGGTGCCTCGAATGCTTCCAACGCCTCGATTCTTGACTACAGCAGCGGAGATTCGTGCAGTCAGGAAGACACCGAGATCATACCACTCCAAAAGCAGCCAGAACCGGAAATAATTGACATCGATAAGGTGGACGATGATGTAACCATCATCATAGAACACCAAAGCGGTGTGGTGGAGATTCACGAAATCGAGGACGACGACAAGCTGGAACCTGCAATAGATTCTGCGGGAAATAAAGCAACGAAGTCAATTATAGAAAGTATTTCAAAGTCAAATAGTGAGGAGAATATAAATAAAATCAGCACGGAGCACACACAGACATCGCCCGGGAAAGAGGTTGGTCGAGGGAAAGCTTAATTGTTAGGCAAACAGATATAATTAACTTTGTTTATGAAATATGTATTAAAATCAGTTGGAATTCGTCCCAATAGTATTCCAAAGTTGGTACATAGAAATTGTATACATTTAGATATGGACCAAATGGTTCTCTCCTTAAGTATTAATCATTATTCTATCTCCCCTACATTTTAGGTCACCTTCAAGTCCCTGGCCCTGACAGAGGCCAAGATAATTGCTCTAGCCTCCGCCTACCTGGTGCTTCATCCCCATGGCGTTGATATTGCCAACATAGCCAGTTACTTAAGCGGAATGCTGTGCAACGGTGCTACCCCCAATAATCCTGATGATCTTGCCAATATACTCGGAAAGTACACAAATCTCTTCAAGCCGGATCAGGCCAAATGGAGGTTCTGTGGCTTTAGCGAACCTACGGAATCTCAGTCAGACTCAAAGTGAGGTGGAGAGTGCGGAATGTTAACTCGAATAAGATGACAATTGAATGCTTTAATTATGTTACATCTATATCATAATGCATAGCGAGTAAGCGGGAAGAAAAGTGAAATGTTAACCAATGGAAAGGCGCAAGTTTTTCGATGCAATCACAATATAATGAGACCAGTTCCAGTTTTAAGGGCAAGTACTCGTAGTTAACTCTATCGGAAGAAAGACACCACAAACTAACTACCGTTTCAATTATTTAAATAACTCAACCTAAAGGATATGTATACACTTAAGCTAAATGAATTCAATATATACAAATATATACATCAATATTTTAAATAAGCTGAGAGGCCGAATGTCGTGTTGCTTATGTTGAACAAGAAGCAAAAGAATGGAACCAAATAAATTTTATGCTAAACTACGTGCGATTATCTTTTGTTCCAAAAAGTGGGAGATTCGTCGGAAAGTATATAACAGGTAGAAGGAAGCGTTTCCGACCTTAAAAGCTATATATATTCTTGAGCAAGATCACCAGCCGAGTCGTTATAGACATGTCCGTCTGTCTGTCCGTTCGTATGAACGCTGAGATCTCGGAAACTAAAAAAGATAGATAGTTGGCACTTAGCATGCAGATTCTTGAGGTCCTGGGACGGCGCATGTTTACTTCACCAGGGTGCCACGCCCACTCTAACACCCATAATCGCCTATGCGCCCACGCTAAAGCCTGTCTAGCGCCCACATTTTTCATTTTGTAACAGTGTAAGTGCAATTTTGTTTTGATTATCAATATTTGTTTTCAGGCCACAAATTTTCCAAATCGGACCATCCTTTAAAAAGTTCTTAGCAAATAAATAAATCGACGTTAGGTGGCGCTGTTGCGGGGAGTGCAGTATTGGAACATTCGCTGCCTGCATATCAGCATCTCCCTCGCACTCCCCTGACCACCCACTCAGCTGAGTAACGGGTATCTGGTAGTCCAGGGCGTTGATCATATAGATCTTTTTTTTTTTTAAATTTTGGTTAGAGTTTAAGTTTCATTTCAAAAAATAGAACTAGAATTTGGTTTCAAAACATATTAAATTGATTATTTTAACAAATTTCTTTGAAAAGAAAGTGTTTTTTTTAAAACAATTTTTATCTGGAATCGTATAGAGTTATGTCTGTTTTAGTAAGTGTTCCAGAAAATATTCTACTTTCTCTATTTGTATTATGGGTTATATATCTCTGCCCACTGTAAACTTATCAATTCGATTAATGAAAATATGAAGGCATTTCAATTGGATTTCCATATTTATTTTTGATTCTGAGTTTCATTTTTTTTTACAACTGGCTTTAAATTTAACTTAATTTATTTTACAACTTCCAGTTATAAATTTCGGACTTCCTGACTCGGAAGCTTAACATGGTATGTTAATTCAAGCCGAAACTGTTGCTTAAAATTACGTTAATTCGAATTTTCAAATTTTATTTTTGGGAAACCATTTTTAAGAATTTAAAAATTAGATTGCTAAAAAATCAACAAATAACGTACCGTTTTAAAATCATTTTAGTATCTACGCTGAAAAAATTTATGATTTTCATGAAATCTGCTATTATCCCTTACAACCTGATGAAATCTGCTTTTATCCTGCAGTAAACTTTAAAATATTACGTGAAAAGCTTACGTTGCTTGCGTAAGCCGTTATTAAGTGCGCGAAAAGAAGCTGCGCGTCCTCTGCCAAGGACAATGCCCAACAGCATCCTGCATCCCTCTGTTTCCTAACCCCTCCTCCCACGCACTTTGCACTAGTGTTTCTGTGACGTGATGAAATCCCATAGTCTGCCTTCGAATTTCCCTAATATTTGTGACGTCAATGTGGCGTTTATCGTATTAAAGCGCGTTTGGGAATTAAGCATAAACCGTAACCACAACAACAAATTTACTGAGAGATGAAAGTACAGCAACAACAACAACAGCAGAGGGGAGATGAAAGAGAGAACAAGAACATGAGCGTAAATTTCCCAAAGCAAGAACAAAGCACTACACTGCACTGGAAGAAATTAAGATCTAAGTTATAGATTAGTTTACGAATGTATTTTTATATTTTAGATTATAATCAATCATTTTAAACATATTATTTATAACGGAAGGTAACATTTAAAATATATATTTTAATATTTTTTTACTTAATAAATATATTATTTTTGGTTTTTCAATGTCAAATAGTTAGCTTAAACAAAAAGGTTTGAGATTTTTAGCCAAAACAAATGTCTGGGTAAATTTTAGAATTAAGTACCCTTTTCTCTCTGTGTATCGGTGTGTTCCGAATGCTTTTCTGCCGCTCTGCCACTTCCACTGCCACTGCCAACGTCGACGTCGATGAGGGAGGCCCGTCTATATCAACGCTATCAGTCGTTTTTGCGAATCCGAGGCGCGCGGTTCTGTTCCAAAAAGCCGGAGGAGGACTCCATCCGAACAAGCCACTGATTTTCTCGCCCATGTCCATGTAACGGTGCCATTCAGCGTGTGTTTTATGTGCGTGAATGTGAACTGTAATTTTGTCTGCCGCTGTATATTTTAATATAATTACGTGCACTTTCTTTGTGCAAAATAAGAAACGGGAAAAGGTCGGAAAAAGAGAGCACTCTCCTTTCCAGCTCTTTCGAAGGACAACTCAAGTTCACTTAGGAAGCTGCGAAGGCAACAACAAAGCACGTGCTTGTTTTTTTCGGCGGGTAAGTTTGAGTTTCACCGGGTCTTTTAAGCACAGTTTGAGAACCACTGAGTTTTTCAAAAAGCGAAGTAAAACACGAACCTCAAAAATGTATACAAAAATGACTCGCAAAGTGAAGAACAGAAAAATATTTGAAAATAAACAGAGAAACCCGAATCTAACTTAAATACACTTTTTTTGCACGAATATAAGCAAATGAATATGAAAACCGAGTGAGAAAAACAATTTTATATATTCCACCAATTTGAAAATATTTGAAAAGTAATTTTCTAATATTATGCGACGCTAGTGTGCAACTTGACCGTTATGAGTATATATTTTTAGAATATTTTCTGAATATATAAGTTGGCAATATTTTAAACTTACTACAATACATTCGATTCAAAATTTATTCCAATCCACAAATGGCTATTGGAATCCCTATTTTTTTCAATAATATTTGAAGTACAAATTATTGGTCTTTGAATAAATAATTGAAATACACAAAAAATGTATAAATTATGAAACGTTTGGCGTCATAATACACTTTTTAAGCTTGTCACGAGAAATTGAAAATCAAACAACAAATCACACAGATTAGCAGCCGAATAGAAAAACATTCAGGAAACTTGTTGAACATTTGGTAAAATTCTTTTGACGTCAAAGTTTAAACCGAAAATGTTCTTACGAGCGTCAACCATAAAAAATGTTTTGTTTGCACAAAAATAAGAGTATAATGTATAAAAACTCAATACTTTTTGAATAGGTATCATAAATGGAAAGACAAACAGTGTTCAACTGACACAAATTCATAACAGAAAAAAGGGGAGGTGAGTTTTTTTTAAGCCGCTTTTCAGTTCGGTTTTGTGTCAAAGGGTTAAACTGAAAGTAGTGCACTCAGTCAATCAGTGCATTTCACTCGTACAGAACAAGGGGAACATTTGAGGAGTAGATGTCAGGGGTTGGAGTCCCCTAGTCTTAACACTTCCCACTTGAGTGTTTTGACAGTCAACAATGATTAATTAGGGACAGCACCATGCGTTTCGGAACTGAACTATTTATGAAGAACCCACTGGAGAACATGTTATTCCGTTTTCGATGGGGGAAAAGCTTTGTGCTGAGCTAAGCGTAAATTTGATGAGACACTGGAACGTGCCAAATGTCAACATGGGCTATAAACAAATTCGATTGATAAAATTCACGATCTACACACTTATTTATGGCATGATCCCACTCTGTTCGAGCTGAATTCCCGAACATAAGTTTCCCAACCGCAAAGTGCTTCCAGGTATCTACCCAGCAATCTGAAAAAATCCCCGGCGAACCTTTCTGCTTTAGTTATACATATGTAATTACAATTCGATTTTAAAATGGGAAGCGGTATTTTGAAAATGAAAAACAGTCACGTACTTTGGGGATTCGTGAGATATTCCCAACTTTTTCTGCCCAAAAATAAAAGCGTTCTTCTTCTATTAAAGTTGAAATGTTCTAGATCAGTTGATAGGCCGATAGAAACACTAACGATTGCCCTGAGCAACAACTTCATTACTGATAACTAGATGGGATCGATTGCATGGGCCTTACGTGCACTTTAACTTGTAGACCCTGATCCAAAAAGTTAGTAATTCTTCAAGTAGGGCGGTACCATTTAAAAAAAAAGTACTTCATCAAAGTTCTTAACTTTTTGCCGTATTACTCGAGAAATAAACGTTTATTTTTAATTTTTTTAGTAAGCAACGAAATTGTTGTAATGTGCGAAGTGTAGAATACTTCAACTTAAAACTAACTTAAAATATGCTTCATATTATTATAATTTATCACTTTTTAGGGATAAATTTTTTGCTTTTAAATAATCTATTTATTATTTGTTGGTTAGTTTAGTAATTTGAACCGTTTGAATAATAAGAGAATCATGAAAAGAATAACTAACTTATAACATGCTTCAATATTATAATTTAATCAACTTATTATAATTTGTTTGTTAGTTTGCAAGCGCTTTGAATTATAAGTGAATCAGGAAAAATAAAAAAAAAGATTTGTCAGATTATAACTAACTGAAAACATGCTTTAATATTATTATAATTTAACAATATGTATAGGAATGCGATCCCTTTGAATGAATCAGAGAAAACAAGAAGAAAATATCAGTAAAGCTTTCATCCCTTTTTCCGCTTTTGCTTTTCGAAGCAAAACTTGGTTAGTTCATTAAAGTCAATTTAATTTGCATTATTTTACGAGCTAGTTGCTTATCCGCAAAAACACACTTTTTGCAGTTGCACATAGCGAAACCAAATCCAATTAACTCGGTCTAGTTCAAGGGCAAATGAGGTATTTACAATTTACTTAACAGGGGATTCCTTTTCGGCGAAATGGAGATGCTATCCCAAAGTGACAGACCCAATTTGCATATAGAAAATTGGCGGGGGAATCGAGATTTTCCCCAGCCACAATGAACGCAAACCAGTAACGGGGAAAATTAACATCACGTGTCGCGACAGGTAATTGACAAGGGGGCGGAGTGGGCGTAATTGAGGGGGGGGGGGGGTTGTAATTCAATCGAAGCACTGTGACGTCAGGGAACTGAGGCGTTTCACCTGCGAAATGTAAACAAACTGCAGTGACCCACACATAGATACGATTACAAGATACAGATA